AGTTACCCGCCTATTTCGATGGGTATTTTATGACGTTCTATGACTATATTTTGTTACTAGGTACTTAATATTTAACTCCTTGCATTAAGCTTTCATTTGTATTGAGAAGCATTTTTGTAGCCCCACTCTTGAATTAAAAAGACCATGAATTATATATAAAGACGAAAGTATATAATTATCTTTAACACCCCCGTAAACTCGCCCCCAAAGTTTACCTCAGCAAAATACATTTTAATGGATCCTTTCTCAATAAAAGAAAAATGCTTACTAAATTTCAAACCTGTCAGTTTAACACTTCAAAAACCGACTTTTTAAACCTCGGAATTCCTCTGGGAGCCCATTTCCTCAAAACCATTCTTAGCGGATCTCTACTGAACAAAAGAAACATACCTACCAAATTTTTAGACTGCAGGTCTAAAACGGGAATTTTTATCTGTAATGCCCTTTGGCCCTTTGCAACACTCTTGAGAATTGATTTCTGCAAGATCAGTTCTTAGTGGATCTCTACTCTATTAAAAAAAGAGCATGTTTACCAAATTTCAAGTCTGTAGGTATAGTAATTGAAAAAAAGGTATGTTATCCGTAACGCCCCCTGAACCTCTTGCAACCCCCGTTAAAATTCGATTTCTTTAAAATACGTTCTAAGCAGATCTCTACTCGACAAAAGAAACTTACTCACAAAATTTTATGTTTGTATGTCTAGTATTTAAAATACGATTACACACACTTGACCCTTTTTAACTCACTTAAAAAGTCAATTTCTGTAAAGCATGTTCTTAAAGGATGTCTACACAACAATGAAATATACTTGCAAAATTTAAAGTCTGTAACTAAAATATTTGAAAAACGGAAATTTTTATCTGTCAAAACTCAGTTGACTGTATTTGTCATTAAAAATATTGAAATTATAAACTTCAATCTGTCTTTTTAAATGTGTTATCATGATAATAATCATTTTTCATAATTATTTTGATTCCTGTGCATCGTTGTGGGTAAGTCACCAATGGTTAACTTATCACTCTGATCATTTCTACATGACACCACTTGGCTTTATCCTTTGAGACTTACTAGAACAATGGTGTGAGGTTAAATATTCTTATGCGTTTTTGCTTCTGGAATAGTAGTATGTAAGAAAAGCTCGAAAGAACGATCTAGAGAGTTTTCAGAAAGTATAACTTTCTGTCAACAGACAGCGACTGTAGTCCAAGTTTTATTTTCAGCCGGCAAGTCTAGCTTTCTTTATAAGTACAACAGATATACATTGTCATTTTATTTGTCACAGAAAAGTGCTTATCAACATATATCCAACTGCTTCGATACACATTTTTGTCTTATTGTGTGAATAACTGTAAAATAGTAAAAATATTAACTATACTCTATCAATGTTGCTTCTAGGACTCAAGATTTTATTACCCGCATGATTGTGCGATTTGGGCATTACGTAAGTCACTGCTACTATAAAGTCAAAGTACTTGTTACCTGAGTTTTCTTTTCTGTTTTAGTAATTTTGATAAAAGCCTAACTAAAAACAAAATGAATACCATATTTTCTTGGGGATGTCATATAGATGTGACCATTTTTTCTTTCTCTTTTCTCTAGCTCTTTTTGGCAATTAATTTCCTCCTTCATACATTTTTTGAGGTGTATGGCATTTTATACCTTTACACAGATATCTTATCCATATTTGCCCTCTCCCCCAAAAAATATGGGTTATGAATCTGGTGGATACATTTAATAATTTTTTATGAAATACTGTGCTAACTTTTAACAAAACAGAGAACTTTTACAGGTATCTAAAAGGAAACGAATGCTCACCCAAAAGGATTTTTGGCAAAATATGAATAAATCAGATTCTGAACTTGATAATCTCGCAGATGAGGACTATGCTGTGGACAAACATATGAGCCACTTAATACTGGAAGAAAAATCAAGTTCAGATGCGAGTGATGAAGAAAAACAGAAATATTTGTATGGAAAAACAATTTTGGATCACCCTTTGCCATCAAAGTCTCGTGAACCGATTCATTTCATTGATTTAGCTGCAGCAAGTTCTTGGTTTCAGTACAAATAAGATGAAGTATCAAACACAATTCCTCCAAAAAATCAAAATATATCTCTTACAATTTAAATTAAAGACAGCTGAAGCGTTAGCAGTAACTCATCCTACTAACAAAAGCATTTTAACTGGTGATGAAGATGACAGTGCTTTGGTTCCTCCCGCAAAAAAGATTCAAGTATAATAATCGACCTGCTAAAAGGCCATACCAGGATAAAAGACATAACACGTTGTAAAAATGCATTATTTATTTATTTTTGTCAAAAACAAAAACAGGCTTTAAAGATTTCCACAGTAAATAAATAATGAGTCAGTAAAAAAAAAATAAGTAATGCGTCATTAATTTCCTCATTTATAACAATTTTATTAGAGTTAAGTTAGTTTCTTCTGTCACCAAAGAGCCAAAAAAAAAAATGTGTAACTCATAAAATTTCGCTGGAGATGGTTTCACAGGCAAAACAAAACTCGCATGACGTGCTGGTACCGTCTACGCTCCAGGGAGCAGCGAAGTCTCTTTTTATTGTTTTTCCATTATCATTGGGGTCAATATAGTGTTACTAACCAGAAGAGTTAAATATTTAAAAATGAAAACATTTCCGGTCTTAAAGATATAAGACCCTGCATTACATTTCAGGGCATGTCTTGAAAAAAGAAACGTCTTTATACACTATGAAGTTCAGGAAGTAGAATATTTAAAATTGTATGCCAAGCATATAAGAAAATTCTCATTATTATACACTGCTGGCCGCACATAATGCAACGTCCTGAAGGAAGCATGCAAGCCATAGGAAATTTAGATGATGTGTTGGCAGCGATGAAATAAGCAAATCATTATCATTATAGGGCAGACGCACATCACGGGAGACCGTAGCACCACCCAGAAGCGCTATATAATATATAACATGAGAACATATTGGCAATTCAAATACAGCATTTTTTTTTCTGCGTAAGCTGTTTACCTATGCCTCGTCGAAGACATCAAGGTTTTTTTTACTAAGTTTCTGAATTTGACCAAGGAAGAATAATAGCCTATACGGATTGCGGATTATCCTTCACATAAATCGGTCAATGTGTTGGATGAAACCAAGCAAATGAGATGCGGGTCTGTCATCGTTGGATGCAGGAGAAAATAACGGACCGACGGGTCCGATCACTCCCACCTCGTGATACAGATGGAATGTGCGCACGGCTCTGATGGATCGCGCAGTCACATCACGAACCATATCACAACAGATTCAGTCTGTTACGCATTATTTGGAGTCCACGTCATGACGTCATTTTAGCAGAGTAGAATGTCCGAAAGGCGTCCATTGCTTCGTTTATGATTGACTGGAAACCACAGGCATTTGCTCCGTCAATGATGCGATTAAAGGCGGATATGCACAACGGAATGGAATGACATTATGTTTACTGACGAATCCCGCTTTTGCCTACAACATCACGATGGTCGGATTCGTGTTTGGAGACACCATAGTACGAGGCTACTCTGAACTGTTGCATTGTGCATCGCCACACAACTCCTGTACCCGGTATCATGGTTTGGGTTGGTATTGGATTTCCCTCCCGCACTCCTCTAGTACGCATTGCCGGTACACTGAAAAGCCAGCGCTACGTCTCTGAGGTGTTGGCGCCAGTGATCCTTTCATACATTCAGGGCTTGCCACATCAACCATATACCAACAGGATAATGCACGACCACACGTCGCACGCAATGTTTAAGGTATCCGACTACACTAAAACTGTGATTTTTGCCAAAAGTTGACGCATTGTTTTTGATTTTATTTTATAGGCCATCTTATTTTATCTTTATAAAAATACCAAGTTTAGTATTTTCCGTTCACTAGAACAAAAACTACAAGTGTTTTAGTAAAAGCAGATACCATTACTTTAAGCAAGATGTCATACTCTAAAACGCGTTTTACTCGAAATGTGTTTTTTTAATGCTCAAATGGGGACAGGGATTGCTAAAAAAGTTTTGAAAATAATTGAAATTTTTTTGTATTTTCTGTGTAATAGTAGAAGTGTTTTAATCTTCAGATTTATCAATCACTTTTTTATTACAAAATTTACTGTCCCTTATGTGAATATAATGACTGTTTTTTTAAGCAATTTCATATAATAACTAAGATAAAGTGCTCTAATTTTTCTAAAAATTAAAATATCTCTTATCCTGAAGGTCATTTCAAAAATGAATAACATAGCAACACATCAGAATCAAAAAATTGAAAATATGTTCATAAACTTTTGGTACATAATGGGCCGCGTTTAGGTTATTTTTTGTAAATTTTAACTATTTTTTTCCATTTTAGTAATAATAATTTCTTTTTCTCTTCTTAATTTTAGCTTATTTTTCTCAAAATGTACTAAACCAAATCTAAAAACAGCAAAAAATCCCCATTTCTCCATTTTTTAAGAAAAATTTGTCACAAGTAATCGGATACCTAAGAGTTCTTTACCTATTCGATTGAAGTGGTTCCTTGGGCTGCTTGGCCTGCCGTCAATCGGAAACGTGTGGTCCATGTTTGCACAACGACTGGCCCAGGATACACCACCCGATTTTACACCAGATCAACTTTGGCATTATGTAGAAGCGCATGGACTGCTGTACACCAAGGATACATTTAAAGCATCTGTGATTCTATGCCGAGTGAATGAGTGAATATTAACGTCACACTATTCAGCTACACGAGGGCTTTTGGCGACGAACCTCGTAATTTTGAACCATGGTCAAGTGATGAGGACGACACCTGAGATGGCACCCCTCTCCTAACTACCACACCACACCAACGGGAGGACATTTGAGCTCTCGACAGATTTAACGTGCACGGCGGGACTTTAGTGGTACTGGGCTCGAACTCATGACATACCAGCCACAATCCGATTCCTGGACCACTTGGGTACTGCGGCCACAAAAAGAGTTGCGGGCTTTCTTTCTTCGTATATTTGTCAGGAGTGGAGTTCCAACCAATACTCTCTTTCGAGAACCAGAGCTTAAATCTGGCACCTTAGACCGCTCGGCTATCCTGACACGTGATTCTATGCCGAGGAGTGTGGTAGCGTTTTTAGCCTGCAATGGTGGCTACACAAACTACTGGTTTTGTCATAATCCACACGTCACAAGAGGCTGTAATTTTAATCGTTTGATCTTTGTACAATATGTTACCTGCCAAATAAATTTCGCTGTGATATTTCTGGTCCTTTTTGGTGTTATATCAGTGCTTCTCAAACTTACAATATTTGCGACCCAATATTCAACCATAATTTTCATCGTGCCCCCCTCCTCCTTACAAATAACAATATATTGAATTTAATAGTACTATACTTTGACACAAAAGCTACAATATGATTTTTCCTTAAGTGCCACCGGCGTACATAAACGTCTCGCTCAACCAAAGCATTGTCCCGGACGCATATATACGTCTTCCCGAAGTATGATCTTTTCTGTGCACTGCTATGCATAAAATTATACCGAAGGCTTTAGAATGCAATGAAAGGACCTTGACAGTGTTTGGGAAGACTTTACCTATTTCAGAGGATTTCCTCATTTATTCCTTTTCTCTCCTCCTCTCCCCCCCCCCCCAATAACATCATATACGCTCGTTTACGTGGGAAAAGGTGGCATTATAGGGAACGTATCGGCAGTTGAGGGATTAATTATAAACCCTAGAATAATCAAGATAAGAGTTAGTTTTTGTATATAATTTTATATATGACAAGCCCATGGGGTCACTGGTAATTATTAAACATGTTCTTAACTTATTACTGTTAGATTAATTATAAAATGCATTGTGAAGCACTGATACATTTATAAGTATATTATGTCAGTGTAAATGTGCATTTTATTTTTTATTACGTCAGAATGTATTTTGTGTTTTTACTTCAGTAAATTGATAATTTTTTAAATCATATTTTGTTTTCGATTTTTCAATATGCTCGTGCCCCCTCGTAGAATTATCACGCCCCTTTAGGGAGGCGCGCCCCACAGTTTGAGAAATGCTGTGTAATATTTTGTGTGGCCAGAAGTGTATGAACGAGTTAATATTGAATAAATTTAGAATTGAAACCAAATTCTACTTTTAAAAAAAGCAAAATTAACACATGTGTATTTGTATATACCGTAGAACTTGGCTTATAGCGCGCATCTTTAACAGAAAAATAAGATTGAAATTTATGGATGCGCATTATACGCCGGGTATAAAAGTGAGACCTTTGAAAATAAAAAAAGGATCATAGAAAAAATTAGACTTCTACATAGATCGAAATAAAGTGTATTTAAAAGAAACGACATTCCTTGAGAACTTAAAGGGTTGTAGTTGTGAAAGTAAACTATTTTTTTCTAAAGTTTGGAATAATATCACGAATAAATGATTTCAAAACAAAAGCATTGTATACGTACGTTTCAGGTTTGCTCATAAAAATGGGGGCGCGCGTTGTACAGCGAATTGGCCTAAAAATTAAAAATTGCAGCTTCAAAGAATGAGTGCACGCTATACGCCAAATTATATACGGTAATTAGATTTATTTATATATCATACCAAAAATAATTATTTAACTGAATGGGCTGCATGGAACAGGAATTAAAAATATTTTTGTTCCAGAAGATGCGCGTAATGAATAGCGATAAAGAAATAACGCTCCTAGAATAATACTAAACACTTTCTTGTCAAAAAAATAATCAAAACTTCCAAGTTGTCTGGAAATTTATTACCTAATTCGAGCCCATTTAGTTTTACATTAATTAGAAAATTCAAACAGCTATCAGCACGAAAAGACTTGTAGCAGCAACGCTTAAAAAGAAAAAAAAATGAATCCCTTCTAAAATCATTTATTTCGGTTCGCTTTGTGGGTGGTTTTCTTAAAATTAATTAATCCGAATACCCATTAAAGAGAGACTTCTCACAACAACTTTCTTACACTTTTTCGAATACCATTACTCCTTTCACAAAGAAGATTTTTCTACTTCCTCTTAATTTGTTCCAACAGAATTTTGATAAAATTTGCAGAAAGTGTTTTCTCTTCGTTCACTTAATTCGCATTTTTGTCTGACCAAATCCTGAGAATGTGATTTTTAGAGTAATGAATTAGAAAAGGTTAGTTCTAAAAGAGCAAGAGCTTTCAAAACATATACCTCTCACTTAATTAAAATCCTGTCATAATTTCTGTAACCGATATGCGAATAATTTTTTAACGAGACCATCGTTATGTAAAATCATTATTTTCGGAATCCAATAAACAAGAGAGCTGAAATAAGTTTCTCTCTTATAGAATCGGCAACCCATTAATAAGGTGAAAGGAATGGGATACGGAACAGAAAATGTTATTACATCAATTATGTTAGATATTTTTCGGAGATGCAATAGGTTCTTTCTGATTAAAAGAGAAATAATGAGAAGCCTCTTGCTGATAATAACTTTGTTACTTTCCGAAGTTATATATATAAGGTGATTCGCTAGCAGAGAGTACAGATACGTACTAGGAATCACTTAGCAATGCAGGGTTGAAAGTGCCATTGTTGCGAACTGTACTGTAAAGAAGCAGAAGAAAGAGCAGAAACAATAGTATATAACAGTATATATTAAAGCAGAGGTGGCCAACCCATGGCACGCGTGCCACAGTGTAGCAAGGCGGAGTGGTTAAAGTGGCACGCAAAGACTTAACTGAAAAGTTAAAAATTTGTGTGGAGCAAATAATAATAATTTTTTTTTACACTTTTATTTAAATACGGTTATTTTAGACCAAAAAAAGCCCTACAAATTTTTTTATGAGCATAAAATGAAAATATCGCTCAAAACTAGCTAATATGCACCTAATGCAACGTAATTTTGTTAGCTTCTTCAAGCTAATCCTAATATAGATAACTTGGTAAGAAGGCTACAAATTCAAAAGCCACACTAAGTACTAACTTTTTAATAATTATTTAAAATTAAATCTTTCAAGTTGTTCCTTTTTATTATATACCCAACTTAGCTGATTGAACCTAAAAAAGTTTATTGACAATAAAATCTAAATTTTCACTTTTGTCGTACTTATTATATTATTTCACTACTTAGACTCGCATTAAAAAATGTGTTATTTGCGTAAAAATCCCATAATAAGCTTATAAGTAGCATTTTTTCACATTTTCATCTTTTTTTGTTGGAAATGGCACGAGTCATTTTTTAAAGCAGAAAGTGGCACTCTTCCCAAAAAGGTTGTCTACCCCTGTATTAAAGGGACAGAAAACATTTTATTGAAAATCTGTGTACAAGTGTTCGAAATTATGACCAGAAGTCATCTGACAGACCAGATAGTGGTGCTGCATGAAATTCTTTACGTTCTGGAAGATTCCTCCAGGCAATCTTGTGGTAGGTGGCACTCCACGGAAGGTTTCGTGAAAACAGATCCTGCTGGAAGTCATCATTTGCAATACGTTTCCAGAAGTAGAATGATGAATTCGTATTTGAACAAAGAACTGGTCGAAGTGTTGATAGTATTGGAGCTGCGGATTGTAATGGGCACGCCACTCGGCAGTTGTACCAGGTACATTACTTGAACAGGCACGTGTTCCATATCACATGATCTTTGTAAGTATGCACAGAAGGTGCAAACTTACAGCTGGTTCTGGTCACATGATGAGTTTGATGTTACGAGACGCACACCTTCAGTTGAAGATCTTTTCGCTCGAATATCTGTAACTGCCAGGAGGATACATGACATGCCACGAATCTTCGAGAACGTAAGGAATTCCATGTAGGACCACTATCAGGCCTGCCAGACGACTTCTGGTCTCAATTTCGAACACCTATGTAGTACAATCTTTCAATAAATTGTTTTCGGTCCCATTAATGTGTTGTTGTTTCTGTTCTTTTTCTTCGCGTCTTTGCACCATAGCTCACAATTACGGCATTTGCGACCCAGCATTCTTTATGATTCCGAATACTCTCTGTACGCCCTACACACCCTGCAGGTCTAATAGCGAATCAACTTGTATATATTCTCGTATGTGAAAATATTTTCTCTGTTTTAGTTTTCTGTTTACAACCACCTCAAGCATTACACAATATTTTTTTTAATCTATTTTGAAAATGAACAAAATTTATGTATATGTTTTACATTCCACCGAGCACGAAAATTCACGAAAACCTTTTATGTAAGAAGACGTGTGTGTTATTCAATTTCAGTGCTATTCAATTGACCAAAATCGGTCAAAAAGTCGAATCAATTTTTTTAGCCTAAATTATTCTTTATATATTTTTCTATTATCTCAGAACATTTGAAAGCTGTAAGTTAAAAAAAACTCAGAGTTCTGACAACTTTTATGTTCGTTTTTATTCCCATCCTAACAGCAAATAAAAACTTTAAGCTAATTTAGCTCGGGAAAAAATAACGTGTTTTCTTTCCACCATTTCAAGTGCAAAGCATTTTTTTTTATTGTGCCTAAAGCTTTGATATTTCTTTTAACTGTTTCTATTAATGCATGTAAAATTTGGGATGCATTTTTGATCAAAAGTAATACTTATTTTTAAAAAATATTTAAATTTAAAATTTATACATTTTTAAAGTATTTTTCAATACACATTCATAAATGAAACTATTTTACAAATATTGGTCATGTTATCCTAAACCTATATCTACGAGGGCTGTTTTTTAAGTAAGATCCGTTTGTTTTTTTAAAAAATAACTAATATTTTGTTTCAAAAAATCTTTATTTGGATTGTACATACTTTTGCCTATTTTTCTAGATAATTGCCAAGTTTCTTAAAGCACTTGTCATACCTTAGAACTAAGTTTTGAAAATCCTCTTCAAAGAAGTTTGCCGCCTGGTCGGACAACCAAGAGTTCACGGACACTTTCACCTCTTCGTTGTCACTGAAGCGCTTCCCACCAAGACTGTGTTTGAGGTACCGGAAAAGGTGGAAATCGTTAGAGGAGATCGGTCGGGGCTGTATAGTGCATGGTCCAAAACCTCCCAGCCAAAAGATTCGATTACGTCCCGAGTCGTTCGAGAAGTATGAGGCCTTGCGTTATCGTGGAGGAGCAAAACTCCTT